GGATTGGAGGTAAAAGAGTCAAATATCAGTATTTAGAGCAATTCACGTTTTTCTAACCCTACTATCATAACTAGCAATTTCACTTAAGTTTATACATGTGAAAAGATGCCCTGTGTGAGCAGCAGGTGCCTTGCCTCTGCTAACTTGAAAGCTAAAGTAAAGAACAGAATGAGCCTACGATAACTGGTTCTAACATCTGTTTAAGGAGCAGGAACTAGATTAACTCATTTGATAAAAAGCAAAATACAGCAAAATACAGCTGCTATAAATTCAGTAGAAAACTCAGTTTTAACGCTTCCCTTCAATGCAGTGTACATTTTCATTCAGGAGAAAATTTTGCAGTAAGTTGCCATATTTTTGTATGGAAGCTAGAAGACCAAGTATCTCAGAGTTATGGATTCTGAAGCACAAAGTATTTGGTATACCACTAATGGATATTTATATTTCTCTGAATTATTTGGTTTAACTCCCAAGAATGCTTACCTCTATGTATATAGAATTTTGGTTGTTGGGTTTTTTTTCTGATTTCCCCATTTTTATTTAAATAATACTATGCATGTAAAGATTTATTGGCTTAATAACTGTTTTTCAAAGTACTTAGTATTAGTTGTCTTTAAATTGTGAATTTATTTTGTTTATTTTTGTTCACCAGAAAGACAGCAACTGCAACAATTCCTCAGGGTTTGAACAGTGTGAGAGTGGTTCTAAATATAAAATGTCATTCAGGGAAAACTATTGTCTAATATCAGGTCAGAAGCAAAACACATCCTGCGAGATATTCATTGCATCACCACAGTTACGGCTTCACAATAAAATTGTTCTTGCCAAATAGTGACAGAGTACTGCATGTGGACACCTTCCAAAATAAACCTAGGCAACAGAACATAGAGTTGTTCATTCTAATCTCCTTCCTCTGGGTCTGTAAAAAGGTTCCCTGCATACGGGTGCTGCAGACAATCTGTAGAAATGTAAGGGCATTGGATGCCAAGGTCATGATCTGTTTGTGCTTGCTCCCTGAGCCAGTGAGGGAGACTGAATTTATCCATGTGTGCAGGCATACACACTCTCACACATACCACTCATCTTCCCAGTAGGCAAAAGGGTGTACGTGGCAGCGTGACTCCTTATTCTGGCACACTACACTTTATATCTACACCTGTTCCAAGCTAGTTCAAAATATTTGCCTTCAGCTCTTCCTGGGGGAACACAAAGATCAGACATCAGTAAGGAATGAGCCGAGCCCTTTCTGTCACTAAGAGGTAGAAGGGAAAGACATGAAGACCTCTGGCATCCACTCAAATTCACACTGTATCACGTGCTTGGAGTAGCCTGACACAGTCACATTGTGTCCTTAACCTGAGGTCAATAAAAAAGAATCAGCCAGAAAGAGCAGAATGTAATTACCAACATCACTCCATTCTGCTGAGATGGGAAAAAAAACCCAAACCAAAAGCAAACAACTGGGTTTATTTGATATTGAAAATAGTTCTTTAGAAACCAAATTATGTTGTCTCTGAAAAATTCATTGTAAATATTTATGTGCTTAATGAATGCATTTCAAATGTGTTCGCTACCTAAAAATATCCAAAAAAAACAGTGGGGCTATATTCAGAGGTGGAGAAAACTTCCATTCAAGTTCAGTCTGCAGAACAAGATGTCAAAAAGCTGCATTTGGAACAAGAGCACCATTTGCAGGAATGCACACTGCACGGGCAGCAGAAAACAAGCATCATCTTCATAAATGTTTTTGGGGAATCAAATTCAACTTTTTTGTAATTGTTCTCCAAAATCAATGGGAGCCTCCATTATTTCTACCAAGCTTGAGATTGTTATAGTAACTTCCAAAATCTCTCCTTCTGTCATGAATAATATATGCAAGGCTCCCAACTAGCACTTGCTAGATATGAGCTTGGTTTTTTTCCCTCCATTTTTTATGTTATTCAGTAGGGGAATATAATAGCTAATCTGAGATCCAAGCCATAAGCAGAAGAAATTAGTCCTCACGGATATCCATGCTCCTTCCTTTAAAGGCAGCTAATTTCTTTAAAACTATCTCGGCAGAGTGTGGCTTCACACCATCTCACCATAAAGGTACAGCCACAACTCCACCCTTCCTTCCCCTGCAGGCAGCTTCCCTGGTACAGTGCCCAATATCTGTACCAATAACTCTGCAAATAGCAATGCTCATGTATTGTATAACAAATACCACAGGAAAAACCAAACCTGTTCTCTTCAAACACTGAATAGAAATGTAAAAGAAGGGGAAGTACACTGTTGACTGAGTTAGCAAGAGTAAGATATTCTCCCTGACTCTGTTTTCCAGTTTTGGACAAATTCTTCCCCCTTCTGTCTGTACTGTTGTGTGTCTGTTGCAGGTTAAAGAAATGGCATAGGTTATCATTGCCACCCCTCCTGCTCCCAGTCTATGAAAATGCACAGGCACTGCTAAAGAACACCCAAGAAAATGGTAGATCTGCACCTCCTTGAAAATTTCTGTAAGTCCGTGATCTTTATACATTTTACATAGGTGCAGTAGTATTTCATGTTTTGTATAAATATCAGTCATGATATTGCTTCCTCCCTTTTTGGATCCAGAGACCTCAACCTTTGCTGAAAATAGTCATGTCTTATCCTGACTTAAGATACGTTCAAAACACCATACAACAGTTTTTAAAAGAGACAAATAATACAAATCCCATGCTTTTCCTAGCAATTATACTCATTACTTCAGACTTAACTAAGACCCCATGAGATTAATTCCTTGAATCACTGATCTACATGGAGATGCTGTAGTTCTGCATAAACTTTTCAAGTCAGCTGCAGTTGTTGCCCATGGGTTTAGAGTAGAAGCTGACTGCAGCATACACTGTGACAACTGAAGGAAGTAGCTGGAGGGTCTCTTGCAAACCCGGGAGGGATCATTACGACCTTCTAGCATGACCTGCTGTGGATCCTTCTCTGTGGGTTGAGGTACATCTCTGAGCAATTTGACTTCTGAACTACAGCTTAAGTTCCAAGACAAAATAGCAGCCTTGTTTATCACATTTTAGAATAATAGACAATCCTTCATGTTGGTAAGTGGTTGCAGCGTTTCATTACTCTCACTCTTGAAAATATAGGATCTTATTACTAAACTGTATTTGTATCATTTCACATTTTGTAATTATGGGCTGCAATTAAATCCCTTGCTATCTATTACACATTAGCAGATAGTGCTCTTCTCATCCCAGCCAAGGCTCCTAGATGCTAGCTGAAGGACTAACAAACAAAAAAAGGTATGTTAGAAGCATTGGGTAAGATGTCATGCAAAACACTGCTGTCATGCACCGATTACAATCACCTCACTGGAGTTGGACTCAGGTGGATGTTTATTGGTGACAGTTTATTAAATAGGCCAAAGCCCATACACAAGCTTGTTTTAACTATTTTGCTAAATACAGTCACATAGATCATAACTAACACATGCATAGGGAAGGCGATATGACCTGTCACCGTTTCTTTTCCTCTGCAGATTCATGTCACCATGCATAAGGGAAGATGTCCAGCATAGTGTGAGGGTCTCAGGCCAGATGAGAAGGAGCTCCAAGGAGGCCCGTCAATTTTGCCAACTATATACCCGTTTGACACATGGTGTTTTGTGGTAAGCAGGGAGGGTTGGCCTCAACTGGTCTCAAACCAACAAGCATGTATTTACAAAAAAGGGAAGCAAGACTGACGTTGTCCCTCCAGAGATTTTTCCCCTGTACATACTGGGGCCCTTTCTGGTACCTTGTTTGGATATCTTACCCGCTAGTGTTGGTTTTACTTCATTCTCTGGTTAACTTCCCCTTTATGGGTACTTCCAGGGGCTGCTCAGGCTCTTGACATGAGTGCTAGGCCATGAGCACTTTCTGATAGATAAGGTGACTGGAGGGGCAGAGGAGTATTTTCTGCACTGCTGGGGCCTTATCACTATCAACCACAGGCTGACCATTGGGCCTCTGCCTGGCTCCATCCTACAGTCTAGTGAAAAAATATTTGCCCATCTTCAGCGGCTGTGGGTCTGGGGTTGTCTCCCACAGTCACACAAAACACCACCAAGTGGCAGCAATCAGATTTTGCTTGCAAGCAGCAATGAGGACAGAACCCCATGAGTTTGGACAACTATCACTAATGGGGAGTTGCAACAAAGCAAATATATTTAAAGGTGACTGTGGGGGCTGACTTACCAGCAACACGTGTCACTAGGTAACTTCTCATGTGCTTTACTCAGCGTTATTAGCTTTTGCAATTCTATTACGGGTCTTGCAACACCAGCAGTTTTTCTTGAAGCACTAGTTACCAACATGTTCTAAGGAAGCAGGACCAAGACCCCATTTTTTAAAGTTAATGCCTATTTTTGCTTAACGGAAGGTAAGGCTTTGAAAGATGAAACAAGGCCCTTGGGGCTGCTAACGTTTTTCAGCCGGTGTCACGGCTATGGTGACTCATTTCTTAACGCCGCCTCAGCAGTCTTCACTCTCGACGTAAAATTTCCAGCGGACATCCCGGCTCGGCGCGTCCCGAGCGCTCCCCCTCCGCGGCCGCATCCCGCCTCGGAGCGGCAACGCCGCCGGCTGCACCAGAACGGCCGGCCGGGCCCGCGAGGGGTTTCTTTCCGACTACAAGCGAAACGGGTTTCTCCCGAGGGAACGGAGCCGCGG